AAGTCCGTGACTCGGAGCAAGACTCGGAACGAAAGGCTGTCCCGGGGAGGAGACCCCTGGATGCCGCGTTGTCCGGGGATCCGAGGGTGCGAGACTGGTCATCTTGACTTGGCTTGTCTTGAAGCGGTGTCTGCGAGGGTGTCGCAACAGGGAATCAACTTTCGGAATCACACGCTGCTTTCTGGAGCTGGATTTAAGTCGGGCGTGTCAGGAGGAATATTCAAAAATAGTCTGGGGACGATTGTTTGATTATTTTTGAATATTTCTGAGCTTTTTGTTGGACTATTTTTCGTGTTTCCTTCAGAATCCGCCTGTAGGAGGACACTCCCGGCCCACAGCTGGACCCTTCTCGCATGGCCTCTGGCGCCGCACCAGGGAGAGGTGCCGGGGGTGCAGCGGCGACGCCACGAAGTCGGCGCGGACCTTCGAATGTTGGTGTGCGTTAGTTGATTTTTCTTCTAACAGCAGTGCGGTGACCAGATGGTTGGTGATGGATTCATAGCGATGAGCAGACGGTTTCGGCACTTGGGCCGTTCACCAGCGATGTCTCGTGCGACTTGGGCTGACAAAATCTTTACCCAAACCGTGGGTTGATTCACCGTTCGGTGAGGCCGAGGTTACCGCGCGGTCTGCCACCTTTCCTTCCTGGGACCTCGAATGTGGCTCGCGGCTGGGGCTGAAGATCGAAGGTGGATCGAAGCTCGATGGTGCAGGACCGACGATCGACGGATCGAAGATGGCTGGTGCAGGATCGACGATCGACGGATCGAGGATTGAGGGTGGGATAGAGGACCGGTGAAGCCAGGAAGGAGGATGGCGCCAGGCTTAAGTCGGGCCCGTCCCTCTACAGCAGGAATATTCAAAAATAGGCAAAAATAGCTTGGGGACTATGTTTGGAGTATTTTGGGGCATCTTTGGAGCATTTTTTGTGTATTTGTAACTTTTCGTCCACAGTCCCCCTGTAGGGGGACAGGCCCGACCTAACGCCAGGCCTGCCTCCCCCTGCCAGAGGAGGGAGGGGGAGAGAGGCTCGAGGCTCGAGGCCCCCCCCCCCGCCCCGCGCAGGGCAGCGCGCCCCCCTTGGCAAGGCTCGCTTCGCTTCCAGCGGTTCGGTTCGGTGCGAGCTCGACGGATCCCGATTCCGTTTCGATTCGCGTTTGGATTCCGATCTGGATTCCGATCTTCCAGAGAGGCCTCGCTGCTCTGCCGATTTCAGACGGTTCGACTCCTCCCGACTTGGCAAGTGATCGTTTTCTCATGCGTTGTTTTGCCGATCGGCGCGGGCCCTCGCACCCCCTCCCTCCCCCCCATTGAGTAATTAGATCTTGGGTGTTTTGATGGGCCTGATTTCCACCACCACCACCATAAGTTGGAGGGGGAAGGGGTCCTCCTCCTCCTCCTCCTCCTCCTCCTCCTCCTCCTCGTCCTCCTCCTCCTTCCCCCATCCGACTCATGGTAGTGGTGGTGGAAAACAGGCCCATCATGTTTTCGACCCCTGTTTCGAGCAGGTGGAGTCTCCCCCTAGGACGACGCACTGTTGCAAACGGTTCCATGAAGCAGGGGTCCGGCGCCAGACTCTCCCCTCCTCCCTTCCACCCAATGTCGGAACACCGAATAAGAACACGCTCAACAACAAAGATATAGAACAAGAAAGAAACTGCATACACCTCAGGCGATGCTTAAGAAAACTTAAGTTTTCGGTCAGAGTCTCGATTATTCTTAACGTTTCAATGTAAATCTTAAGATCTTGATAGAAATCTTGGGTTGTTGTTCAAGTTCTGAGACTATGAATTTCTTAACCCATGATTTCTTAAGCATTTCGCAGGGTGTACAGTGGAAACCCATGCCAAGAAACACCCTGCTTGCCTCCAGTGTACCCTGGGTCTCTTGGGTTTCGATGGTTTTGCGATGGAAAACATGACGTTCCCACGCCGACAGTCAATGGACGCCCTGGGTCTCATGGTAAGGTTTCTTATGGAAGGTTTCTCGTGGTCGAACTCAAACTGTACACACAATGTTGGAGCTCCGCGCGGGTTTCTTGGATTCGCGCCAGACCGCCTGGCGGCGCCTTCGGTGCCGTCCCTGGCGCGCTCCGCCGCGAGTCAGCGAGGGGGTGCGGTATGGCCCAGCTCTGGTTCTGGCCAGCAGGATTTCGGGGGGTGTCGAGGTTCTAGATGTGATAAGAGTTTTGCTTGGGCCGTGTTTTCAGGCCCCGGACCGTCATAAACAGATCCAGTGCGAAAGACTGCACCAGATGGATCCCAGGAAGAGTCGGGGAGCGATCTTAAGCGGATTTGGTGTCATCCCCCGACGATTGATGTTCTGGGGTCCCAACCCCCCATGCCGCCCCAAGTCCAGAACCCAGCGTTCTGCGGTACTTGTTTGTCCAGCTGGACCGACCAGTGATTGCTCTGGGCCGGATCGACCCGTGATGGCTCCGGAGCCCGAGACAGGGCGATGACGCCCCTTGCGGAGAGGATGCAGCGTCCAGATCTCAGGGCCTCCCCTCCGGCCGGACCGAGCCGTGATGGCCCCGGGGCCTGAGCCGGTGCAGAATCGTTTGTTGTGAAGCATCGCGACGCCAGGATCTATCTATTGCGCCTCCCCTCTCAGAGCGGCATTTTAAGTAGCATCTTCGGGGGGCCTTGCTTGTGTTGTAAGTTGCTGTGGCTTCTTCTACTCCGACATGGGTTCAGCGCGGATTTCACGCGGAGTCGACATGGATTCCACATGGATGCGACTCCGATGGTTGGCGCGATAGGACAGGCGAGTCCCCCCACAGATGCAGCATAACGGTACGTCCTCACTAGACATCCAGCCGCTCCGATCTTTTCGAGGCGTTGCACCCCAGAGGTCTGGAGAGGTTCCGTCAGGCCGTATGCTCATTTTGAAGAGTTATGTTGGTTGTCTTGGGGCATGTTGAGAGCCCCTGGAAGCCGAAAACGGGCGAAAACCCGCCGCTTCGATGCTCGGTTCGGAGTCCTTACTGGGGCCCACTCATTTACCTGTTCGACCCAAGTTCGACTCCAGTTCGACTCAAATTCGACTGCGGTTTGACGCAGGTTCGACTGAGATCCGACCCGGGGGCGGCTCGAGCCGACACATGCTCGACGCAGCCTCGACGCACGAAGGGAGCAAGCAGCTCCAAGAAGGCCTACATAATCAGCAGCCGACTGCTGGGCCCTTTGCCCCCCGAGCCGCGACGACCCCCTCCTCCTCCTCCTCCTCCTCCTCCTCCTCCTCCTCCTCCTCCTCCTCCTCCTCCTCCTCCTCCTCCTCCTCCCT